TAAAAATTTTTGTCTTAATAGTTATTTTGTCTGATATTAGTATAGCCACTCTAGCAGTATTTGGCTAATATTTACATGGTATATCTTTTCCTATCCTTTTATTTTCAACCTAATAAATCTTTGAATCTAAAATTTGTCTCTTGTACACAGCATTGAGCTGGATCATTTTTTAAAAATCCATTATGCCAATCTCTGCCTTTAGTTTGGCATGTTTAATCTATTTATATTTAATGTAATTACTGACAAGGTAGGATTAACGCCTGACATTTTTCTATTTGTTTTCTACATATCTTGTATCTTTTTTTCTACTAATTTGCAATTACTGATGCCTTTTGCATTAAATATTTTATAGTGCACTGTCTTAATTCCCTTCTTGTTTTTTTACTCTGCTTTTTAAAGTTATTTCTTAGTGGTTTCCCTGAGTATTAGAATTAACATCTTAATTTAAAGCAATCTAGTTTGGATTAATACCAACTTCATTTCAATCTTATACAAAAACTGCTCTAATATAGCTACATACCCTCCCCCCACTTAGTGCTATTATTGTCATACAAATTACATTTTTATACATTAGAAGCCCATTTACATAGTTTTATAATTATTGCCTTATGTGGTTGTCTCAAATAAGAAAGGAGTAGTAAATCAACTATACTTCAATAAAATTTTAAGAAATATATTAATTAAATTTGTAATGATTTTAAAAAGTCAGAAAGGAGTACAAAAAAGTTACAAACAAAAATACATTTATACTGTCTTTTATATTTACCTATGTAGTTACTTTCACTAGTACTCTTTATTTTTTGTGTATATTCAAGTTATTGTCAGGTGTTCTTCCATTTCAGCCTGAAAAGACTTCCTTTAGTATTTCTTATAGGGCAGGTCTACTGGTGATGAATTCTCTGAGAATGTCTAAATTTTTGAAGTATAGTTTTGCTGGATATAGAATTCATTTTTAAAAAATTAATTAATTGATTGATTGATTGATTTTTGGCTGCATTGGGTCTTTGTTGCTGTGCGTGGGCTTTCGCTAGTTATGGTGAGCGGAGGCTACTCTTCATTGTGGTGGCTTCTCTTGTTGCAGAGCATGGGTTCTAGGCGCACAGGCTTCAGTAGTTGTGGTACGTAGGCTCAGCAGTTTTGGCTCAGGGGCTCTAGAACGCAGGCTCAGTAGTTGTGGCACATGGGCCCAGTTGCTCCGTGGCATGTGGGATCTTCCCAGACCAGGGCTCGAATCCATGTCCCCTGCATTGGCAGGCAGATTCCTAACCACTGCGCCACCAGGGAAGTCACTGCAGGCAGATTCTTAATGACTGAGCCACCAGGGAAGTCCCTGGCTATAGAATTCTTGATTGATAGTCTCCCTCCACCCCCAGCATATTGGATATGTCATTGCACTGCCTTCTGGCCTCCATGGATTCTGATAAGCCAGCTGTTAATCGTTTTGTGGATCTCTTGTGTGTAATGAGTTTTTTTTTTTTCTTGCTATTTTCAAGATTCTCTGTCTTTTGAAAATGTGGCTGTGATGTGTCTAGATGTGGATTCTTTTGAGCTTATTTTACTTAGAGTTAGTGATTTTCTTTGATACATAGATTTTTAAAATAAAATTTGGGAAGTTTTTTGGTCATAATTTCTTCAAATATTCTTTCTGTCCCTTTTTCTCTCCCTCCCCCCCTTCTGTGGGTCTCATTGTGTGTATGTTGATATGCTTGATTGTGTCCACAGGTCACTGACACTCCATTAATTTTTCTTCATTCTTGTTTTCTTTCTGTTCCTCAGGCTGGATAATCTTATTGAACTATCTATAAGTATGTTTATTCTTTCTTTTAGCAACTCACATCTGCTGTCGAACCCCTCTAGTGAATTTTTCCTTTCGGTTATACTTTTCAGGTCCAGATCTCTATTTAAAAAAATGTTTTTTTCTTTTTAGTGATATTTTCTATTTAGCAAGACATTATTTTCATACTTTCCTTTAATTCTTTAGGTATGGTTTCCTTTAGTTCTTTGAACATACTTATGATAGCTTGTTTAAAGACTTTATATGGTAAGTTCAGCATCTGGACTTCCTCAGGGACGGCAACTTCTGACTGCTTTTTCCCCTGTCTATGGGCCATACTTTCCTGTTTCTTTGCATGACTCATAGATTTTTGTTGAAAACTAAACATTTAAAATAATGTAATGTAAACATCAGATTTCTCTTCTTTTCCAGGGTTTGTTGTTTCTGCTGATTGCTTCCTTAGTGACTTTTCTGAACTAATTCTGTATTCTTTTGTCATGTGTGGGCATTGAAATCTCTGTTCCATTAGCCTAGTGCTCAGCTAGTGATTAGAGAGATTTTCTTACATTCTTGGACCCCCCCACGCACCCCAAATCTCCCTATCTTTGCAAAGTGGCTCTGTGTGTTTGTGTTGGGGCACACCTTCAACACTCAGCCAAAGCCTCAAGATCAGCCCAAGGTGAGAGATTAGTATCTTCTCAGGCCCTAATCTTCTTAGCCCTGCACATGCACATGGCCTTCTAGATCCACAGAAATATGCTGGAGTTTTTCAAAGCCCCTGATGGACATCTCATTCTCCAGATTTTCCTTTTACATTTTTGGACAAGCTTTTTGTTTGCCCTCTCTGGTATTACCTCCTCAGGAAGCTATGAGGTTAAACAGTTGCTGTTGATTGCTTTTGACAAAGGTCCTGAGGATAGGGTTTTTCTTACTGAGTGATCTATGAGTCAGGTCAAATAAGACAAGCTTTACAGTGGGGCTTTTCCAGAAAACTGTCAAGTCAAAGAGTTACAGATCTCGGGTGGGCTTTGTTGGGAGCTTCAGACCTGTTCTAACCTCTCCAGTGGTTACTAGGCTACTGGTTTTAACAGCTATCATGGCTGTGAGTCTTCTGGTTTCCAAACCAATCATGGAGCTGGGGAGACAGTATGAGAATAGGACAAGTTAAAATGCTACACAATTCATTCCTCTTTCTAATATTCAAACTTTTTCCTTATATAAAAACTCCTTTATTGCTGAAAGCTGGTGGTTTCTTAAGTTCTGAAAAAGTGGGTTTTTTTGGTTTGTTTTACATTTTTACTCAGTGTCTTTATTGTTGTTTTGGAGGAGTGGATTTTTTTGGAGATCCTCACTCCACTGTTTTGAAAGGGCTTCTTTCTATCTTATATTTTACTTCCACATATACTTTAAACACCAAGAGACATAATTATTATCTTATTTGATCTGTTTTCATTTAGAGTTAATGTTACACTTACCCTTCTACTGTTCATCATTCATCTACTCTTCATCTACTGTTCATCATTCCTTCTTGCATTACTGCACCTCCATCTTTAATAATTTTCCTTCTGTTTAAAAAAACTCCTTTAGTGTTTCTTTTATTCCCATATGCTAGAAATGCATGCTCTAAGTTTTTGTTCGACTGACAATATTTTCATTTTACCTTCATTTTGGAAAGATATTTTCATTGAGAATAGAATTCTAGGGTGGCAGTGATTTCGTTTGTGCTCCATAAAGATTCAATTGGATTGTCCTCTAGGCTACCATAATTTCTGCTGAAAAATTGCCAGTCTTGTTGTTCTTTTGAAAGTAATGTGTCTTTTATCCTCTGGCTGCTTTTAAGAGTTTCCTTTGTCTTTGATTTTCAGCAGTTTTAATATGGTGTAATTAAATGTGTTTTTCTTTATGTTTATTCTTCATGGCATTCATAGAGCTTCTTGGATCTATGACGTGGTATCTTTTATCACTCAGCCATTTTCTCTTCAAATACTGCTGCTTTCCCTCTCTATCTTTTTGTCTCATTCTGAAATTCCAATTTTATATACGTTTGGCCTTTTTACCATATCCCTTAAATTTTTTTTTTTTTTTTTTTTGCGTATGCGGGCCTCTCACTGTTGTGGCCTCTCCCATTGCGGAGCACAGGCTCTGGACGTGCAGGCTCAGCAGCCATGGCTCACGGGCCCAGCCGCTCCGCGGCATGTGGGATCTTCCCGGACTGGGGCACGAACCCGTGTCCCCTGCATCGGCAGGCAGACTCTCAACCACTGCGCCACCAGGGAAGACCCCATATCACTTAAATTTTTTACTGAATGCTAGGCATTGCGTATAAAAAAATTGTATAGATAATTTGAGGCTCTCATGGTGTTAGTTTCCTTCAGAGAGGATTTACTTTTGCCTCTAGCAGTTAGTTTGAATAAATGCAGATTACCTTAATCCAGCCTGAGTCTGAGTTGGTTTGAAAGTGAGTTTTAGTCTTTTGAAGAATCAGGCTATTTCCATTTCACCTTTATTCCTAGGGTGTGGCTCTTCTGGGATGCTAATTGGAGCCCAATACTGCTTATGAATCAGTAAAGAGCCAAGGGGAAGCTCCTGAGCCTCTTAGCCCTATGGCACTAGTTAGCCCTATGGTTAATGCCTCAAAGTGGAGCTGGGCATAATGCCAGGCTCACTTCAATGCACCCTCTTTTCTCAGGCTCTTTTTTTTTTTTAAAAAAAAAAACATCTTTATTGGAGTATAATTGCTTTACAATGCTGTGCTAGCTTCTGCTTTATAACAAAGTGAATCAGCTATACCTATACATCTATCCTCATATCTCCTCCCTCTTACGTCTCCCTCCCTATCCCACCCCTCTAGGTGGTCACAAAGCACAGAGCTGATCTCCCTGTGCTATGCGGCTGCTTCCCACTAGCTATCTATTTTACATTTGGTAGTGTATATATGTCCATGCCACTCTCTCACTTCATCCCAGTTTACGCTTCCCCCTCCCCGTGTCCTCAGGTCCATTCTCTACATCTGCGTCTTTATTCCTGTTCTGCCTCTAGGCTCTTCATAACCTTTTTTGTTTTTTTTTTTAGATTCCATATATATGTGTTAGCATACGGTATTTGTTTTTCTCTTTCTGACTTACTTCAGTCTGTATGACAGATTCTAGGGTCCAGCCACCTCACTACAAATAACTCAATTTCATGTCTTTTTATGGCTGAGTAATATTCCATTGTATATATGTACAAAAATATGGAATGCTTCACAAATTTGTGTGTCATCCTTGCACAGGGGCCATGCTAATCTTTTCTGTATCATTTCAATTTTAGTATATGTGCTGTCAAAGCAAGCACTTTCAGGCTCTTTAAGTCCTAACTATCTTCAAACAACAACAAAAATGTTTAAGTAAACTTTTTATTTTGAAATAATTTTTTAATTACAGAAGATTGCAAAATAGTATAGAGTCCCCATGTATCCTTCATCCAGTTTCCCCTGTTGATTACATCTTGCCTAACCTTTTTACATTTGTCAAAACCAATAAGTTAACATTGAAATAATGCTATTAAGTGATCTACAGACTTTATTCAGATTTCTTCAGGTTTTTCAGGATGTCCTTTCTCTGCTCTAATACCCAATCCAGGGTACTGCATTGTGTTTAGTTGTCATGTCTGTAACACCGTCTGTAACCATTTTATCAGTCTTTATTATTTGTTTTTCACAACCTTGATAGTTTTGAAGAGTACTAGTCAGGCATTTTGTAAAGGATCTCTCAATTTGGGTTTGTCTGGTGTTTTCTCATGAATAGACCACAAAGTACCATTCTCATTACATCATATCAGGGGGTACGTGTTATGAACTAAATGCTTGTATCACCCCCCCACCCCCCGTCCACCAAATTCATTTGTTGAAGCCCTAACCCCCAATGTGATGGTATTTGGAGGTGAGGCCTTTGGGAGCGAATTAGGTTTAGATGAGGGAGGTGCCCTTATGATGAGATTAGTGTCTGTGTAAGACTAGACAACAGAGAGCTTGTTTTCTCACCCTCTTTTTACCACGTGAGAACAAAGTGAGAAGGTGGTCGTCTGCAAGCTAGGAAGAGAGCTCTCACCAGGAACCGCATCTGCCATCACCTTGATCTTGGACTTCCAGCCTCCAGAACTGTGAGAAATAAATGTCTGTTTAAGCCACACAGTCTGTGTTTTTGTTTTTGTTTTTGTACAACAGCCTGAATTAAGACAGTACATGATGTCAACGTGATTATTATTGGTGATGTTAACTGTGATCATTTAGTTAAAGTAGTGTCTGTCAGATTTCTCCACTGTAAGGTTAGTGTTTTCCCCTTTCTGTACTATATTCGTTGGAAGTGGGTCTCTAAGAACAGCCCATGCTCATGGAGCATTAAGGTCCACATTCATGGAGAATTAGGGAAAAGTGTTTACTTGCCTAATTTGAAATTCTTCTGTATGGAAGATTTGTCCCTCAAACAGATTTTTACTTTTGTTTTGATTAAACCAGTGTTTCTATTTCTTCTCAGTGAAAGCTAATTTGTTGTGGCTGCTTCTTAAATCTGCTGCATTTCTTTAAAAAAAAAAAATATATATATATACATATATGGGGGGGAGAGAGAGAGAGAGAGAAAATGATTAACAGTGATTATCTCTGACATCTGTGACAAATGGGATTATATATATACATGTATTTGGGGGGGTTCCATTTTCTACAGTCCTGTACCATTTGCATATTTTATAATAAGCATGTATTTTATATTATAATCAGTAAAAAAAACAATGATACTTTCTCCATTTTGTAAAAATAGCAGAAAAAAACATTTTTGTTCCAATGATCTATGACTATGTCTCAGTGAAGGGAAAAATCGAGCTTACCGTCTGGATTATTTAGCCCTCCGAATTACATCTTTTCCTATAAATTGCATTTTTGGATGTTTGAGGCACAGGGAGCTGCACTCTTGGGTTAGTATGCATGATGCCAAAAAACTGGGGGTCTGTTGTTCCAATTCTGGACCCACTCTTTCTGGCTGAGTGATCTTGACCAATACCTATTTCTCTATGCCTCTGTTTTCTTGTGAGAAAATGGAGGTAATCATTATACCCACCCCAGGGGTTGTTGTGAGGAATAAACGAGATAATGAATGTGTAATACTTTGTATAGTGCCTCACCCACAGAATGCTTAATTCATGTTAACTATGATTATTATTAGGGGCCAAGTGTAGGCTCAGAGGGGAGTCAGTCTTGAGCTTAGTCATTCTGGATCCTTCTCTTTGCTGTATCTCCCTTTAGAATCCTGCTTATTGTCATGGTTCTTTCAGATCTAATTTTCTCTATAATTTGGGTTGCTAAGCAATAGTGCGATTTTCCACATTGGCCAAGCTTTATAAATATGTAAATGAAATAACGGAGCCAGGAACAGGTCCAGGTCTAGGGGCTTGCTTTGCACTCTTTGTTCTGTAACGGTGGAGTTTTTTCTTCTTTTTAATCAAATAAACAAGCAGCCAACGCACTTCAGTCTCACCATGATCCCTCCTAGTCGGGAATTAGGTCTGATCCCCCAAGGGCCTGGAGTTGAGCCCAGTAGCTGGAGGTGTCAGGCTATGGTGACTGAGGTTGCTGAAGCATCTGAACTCAGCAGGTGCCGGGACGGATGACGCCCCATGTGCACATTAGCTCGAGGCACCAGGGGACCAACCCAGTGCCACGTGTGTTGAAAAGCACTGAACACCCTCTGCGATGTGATCAGCTGATCACTTCAATGGGAGCTTGTTCTGTTCCTGTTATGGAGACTAATCTGTGTTGTTTGGATGTGTTAGACATTCCAGCTCCACAAAAGACATCAGTGACCATGAATACATGAAATGTGTTTGCATTTCCAAGTAGTGGGTTGAAATTTTATCATTTTCTATTTCTCCATCTGTGTCTCATTATCCTGAAGCAACTCCTTCCCTGTTTGCTGGATTCTAGGCCCCGGGTTTCATTCAAATGAACAAGTTTTCAGACAGCAAAATGAAAGGAAAATTGAATAGTTTCATTCATTTCCAACAGAAAGGAAAAATGAAACTAGGTTTCTTCCCTGTGCCTGTGATGACTATAGACAAATCTGTGTGTTCCAGGCATTGTGCTAGGAGTTTTGTACACGTGACCTCATTTCCTCCTCCCCCCAATTCGGCAAGGTCACCATTATTTTGTACTCCTGGGCCAGTCCTGGGCCTGGTTGCTCTATGATCGGATCCAGCCTTCATGTTTGCTTAATTGCTATCCCCTACTGAAGGCATGGCTTGGCTTTCCCTCTCTGAGTTTACAGAAAGTAAAAATAGTAATTGTCAATCTTTGTCTCTTAAGTGTGGGATTTTTAAACAGAAAGATTGCCTGTTGAACTTGAACACTACGCCGGTCCACGCCGTGTGTCCTGCCCAGGTCTCCCCTTGCTCCTCCTCCCTTTCCTCTTCTTGCTTCAGGCCTCTGAGCTATTTTTACTTACCACACTTCTGACATCAAATGTGTGGTGTCTTGTCCACACCATTCTTCCAGCTGTGGGTCCTACAATTCAGTTCAATTCTGACACGATCTACCTGGAACCAGCATCAGATCCCACAAGTGAAGGGCTCAGTCCCACAAGACTGCTCCCACTTCAGATGCCAGTTACAAGTCCCAGGTTGTCACTGGTGCTTTTGACCAACTGGTTATAAATTTAGAGGGTTCCCACAACCCCCTCTTCACGTTTGGTAATTCGCTAGTCCAATTCACAACTCAGGAAAACACTTATGATTAGAAGTTTATCAGAAAGGATCCAACTCAGAAACAGCCAGTTGGAAGAGATGCATAGGGCAAGGTACGGGGGTGTGCACCACCCTCCTAGCACCCCGACATGTTCATCACGTGGAAGCTCTCCAAACCCTGCTATTTAGGGTTTGTATGGAGGCTCCATCATGTAGGCATGATTGATTAAATCATTGACCATTGGTGATTAACTCAATCTCCAGCCTCTCTCCCCTTCCAGGAGGCCTGGAGGTGGGGCTGAAAGTTCCAAGGCTCTAATCATGCCTGGTCTTTCTGGTGACGAGCCCCCATCCCCCCAGCCACTAGTCATATCATTAGCGTACAAAAGACATTGATCACTCTGGACATTCCACGGGTGTTAGGACTGTTGGCAGGAACCAGGGACAAAGGCCAATACTTATTTTTTATGACATCACAGCTGGATTCCCCCAGCCAGTCAAAAAGAGCAGCAGAAGCTGGGGTTCTGAGAGTGAGAGATGCTTTGGGCAGCTTCGGTCCTTGACCCCAGCTGCCTTATGCTTCTCTATCTGTGTCAGTCTCCTAGATTCTCCAGAAATGCCTCCTGTGACTTATTGGTCAGTCCAAGTGTGAGAGTAATTTCTCTCTAATTGCAGCAAGTATGAAGTGGGTGGCAAAGTCAATTTTTGTGGGAATCAGACAGCAGGAAGGATGTACAAGTAGAGCTTGGCTTCTGCAATGTAGGTTGAGAGCAGAAGCAGGCACAGGGAGTAGGTGATTAAAATGAAAGTTTCAAATAAAAGACACAAGTGGAACGGGGTAACAAGGCATCTCTGTCCTTGGTCTCTAGTTGAAATATTTCTTTAGACTAAGAACAAGACCTACTTTCTTCATGACAAAGGCAGGTGGATATGTTACCCTGAGTTTCTATACTGGCAGGTGGCAAGCTTGTGTGTACGTTGAGTTTAAAACAGTTCTTGCAGACTATCAAACACACCTTTTGTTTAACAGGTTGATCAACACTACCTCCCAGTCAAAAACCACTTGGAGCAGACAAGCTTCAGAAATTATGAGTATCTGCCTAACCAAACTTGAACAGATCAAAAGTCTTGCAGGGCACTATGAACTGATTGTGTGTGTCTCCTCCAAAGTAATATGTTGAAACCTAATCCCACTGTGATGGTATGTGGAAGTGAGGCCTTTGGGTGGTGATTAGCTCATCACAGCAGAGCCCTCATGAATAGGATTAGTGTTGTGAATGAAAAATATTGCCCGCCATATCAGTAAAAAAAGGACTTTGCAGCCATCAAGCCATCACATTAGAGCCTTGCCAACGGTGAGCTCAGGAAAGAAACAGAATGCCCGCCATTACAGCCACCCCCAACTGTGCGCCCTGAGGAAACTGAGGATGAGAAAATACAAGATACTGGCCCCAGATAGCTGATGTGCATATCAAAGGAATGATTTCAATGAGCCCAGATTCTTGCATCTTCCCATACATAGAAAAGCACTAAGTTCCTTAACTTGAGATATCTGCTTTTATTTTTTTTAACAGCAATCTTTTGAGGTTTCTACTACCTAGTCTTTGCTGCAAAACTCCTAT